TTAAATAGTATAGCCGTACGGCGATACTCGATTTTTGTCTAATTTCTTTTAAAAATAGTATAGCCGGGAGGTTTTACTATTTTTTTTAAAAATCGTCATTAATATATAGTATAGCAAGAAAGACGACGTTCGCTGGGTTTTGCAAGGAAGACGACGCTCGCTAGCTGATGGGTTATTTGGGCAGTTTTTAATTTTTTAAAATTTTAAAATTGTCAAACGAAAAAATTAACAAAGTTAACTCCTTGTTATGTTAGTTGGCACGTGTCAGCAAATTAGAGAGGGGACAACAATTTGTTGACAGTGGATCCGCTCCCATATTTTGCCTTCCCATTTGCCTCTTCCCTTAAAGCATGAAAATGTTGATGTGACAAAGCAAATAAGATTTGCCTACTATTTTGCCTCTTCTCTTAGAGCATTTCCAGCAAGGGGCCTTGGGGGAGGGTTGGGGGGGGCAAACCCAAAATGGTGTTTCCAGCAACAAAAATCTGCTAGGGCAAGGTGTGGGCCCCAGCAACCTGGGCTAGCCCTTGGGGAGGTTCGGCCTGAGCAGCAAAACGAGTTTTGGGCTGACGTCAATGCTGAGGTTTAAATTTTTTTAACGTTGGAGCGTGCAACGCACGCGCCACGTTAAAAAAAATTGACGCGCCCGCTACAGTGACCCCCCAACGGGTCTATTCCACGTGGCGAGGGCTGGGGCTGTTCGATCCACTTTTCCCAGAAATCCAACGGCAGCTATTTTTTCGCCAATAAAAAAATGAAAAAAAAAATCGAAACTCCCCCCCAACGGCTCTCTTCCAAGTGGCTCCTTTTGCGCGCTCCGATTCCCTTTTTCCAGCAATCCAATGACAGCCAATATTTTCCCAAATAAATTTTTTAAAAAAAATTAAAAAAATACCCAAAAAAATACTATATATATTTTTTTTTATAAATACCAACCAATACTCTTCACTTTTAACACCAACTACTCATACATTTTCTTCTCCTTATACTATTATTCACTCTCTACTCAATATTTTTTTCACTTTCAAGTTGTATTTTTCTAGAAAAATTTATGGGTTCTTCTAGTGAAACCGGAGGGGCATGAAGCGTCATGGAAGATGTTAGCTTGTGTGAGTCTTGGCTCCGCATTAGTCATTGTCCCGTAACGGGAAATGATATGAAATTCTGTCATATGGGGAAAAAAATTCATCAGGATTTTTGTGAAAGGGTAATTGGTGGAGGGGGCCTAGAGCAGCCACTATTCACTTGAATAGTAGCTGATCTAGGGCTTCCCTTGCCATGGTAAAGGGCTAACTGGTAGAAATGCTCTTAGAGATGCTCTTAGGAATCATGTGTGTTTCATTCATTAGTAAGACTTCATAAGTGGTGTTCAACGGAGTGAACGCTTCGGCTTGGCGCTTGGGCGCCTTCGGCAGTGGTCCTTCGTGGTGGCTTTTATTGTACCTGCCCCTTTCCCGTTTGTGGCCTTCATGCCAAGGCTGGTATGTGTCCTTTCGCTTTCCTCATGGGGCATAAGTATCAGTTTCCCCAGGAGCTGAATGGGGGTGGTGGGCATAATTCGTGGACTGATGCAGCTGGCCGATTCCAAGGCTTAGACCCGCACTGCCCAATGTCAGGTCCACATTTACAATGAGTACGCAATTGGGCAAGCCCATCTAAAGTTGCATCTCTTCTCAATCCTCAAGTTAGTCCTAAAATATTATTGGAGCAGGGAAGCCCATTTGCCACAGGGGCTGGTTACTCTTTTGAAATAGAGTCAAACTCAAATCATTGGAAAGAGAATGTGCCTTCTGGTTTGCTGTATGTTCCTCGTTTTGCTCACCAATCCAATTCATATTCCAAATACGCTGGTTATCAAATCAAAACACATGGTATGTATCTAATTGAAGGCTGAAAGCGATCGTGTGGAAAAGTAGAATCACATCTCTCCACGGCATATCGACGTGGACTTACGCAGATAAGTCCTTTTTATATTAATACTTCCCCACTTAACTCATGCTAATACGTATTAATTAAGTAAACACACTACAAATATGCTTATTAAAATATTAAACAACCAAAATAAAACTGCAGCGAAAACTGGGCATATGATTCTTGCCTCTGCCCCTTTCGTTGCTCCTGGCTTTTAGCCTATAATTTTGTAACTTTCTTTTTGTCCAAGCAAAAAGAAGTATAAAAGTAAATTATTTATAGGACACAAGGTACAAAATGGAAAAAAAAATAAAAAATTCAACGAGGATTTGGGGATTGGCTTTTATTATTTATCAGTATTACCCAATTATTGCTACCAAGTTGAAGTAGTTAGAGCATCCACAATGATGCTCTTTATTTCTTAGCTAAAATTTGGCTAAGAATATAAGAAAGCTATTTTAGGAGCTCTCTAAAAAATTTCAACTCCAACCATACTCCCTAATTTGAAGAGTCATAAATGCTATAACTCTTTTTTGATTGGTCCATCTATTAAAAAATAAAATAAAAAATAGTTAGCATTAAATAAAAGTTTGAAATACTCATTAAATAAAGCAGCATTAAATTATAGGGAGCCACTAGGAGTCATTTCTCTCTCCTCAGATTTAGGAGCTCCTAGAGGACTCCCTATTTTAGGAGGTAGATAGGGAGCGTGGTTGGAGTTGTATTTTTATCATTCATCCCTAAAATTTGTCTAAGGAGGTGGTTTAGGGAGCCCATTGTGGATGCTCTTAGTACTTTCGTTTGCTGGCAAATAATTGGATTTTACACAAAGGTCTTGGAATTAAACTAACAATAATGCTATTTGTATCACATTTACGGGCTATTTTGTTGATCATCTCTCTAGTAGAGATGTAATATACTTATATTAAAGAGGTAGTCAGCAAATGTGGTACAAATAGCGAGAGAGACTTTCACGCAATGGGTATAACACTTTTTGCTATTCCCGACCAATAGTGCAATGACACCCAAAATAATTTTTTCACATATCATTGCATTATTAATCAGACATAGCAAAACAATATTATTTCCGTTGTAAGAAAGTTTTTCTAACAAATAGCACCCTTAAACTAATCGCTGATTATGATGTGATGTGAGTCATGCAAACTGTCTTTTCCTTTTAACTTTTATTCGTTTTTTTTGGTCAATAAACTTTTATTCGTATTTTTAACAATTTTGCTTCCGGTTGTTCACGTCCTATGATTATAAGAGACGAGAGCTTCCGACCAAAAATAATAAAAAATAAGACAATGGCTGATATAAGCAGCCAAATAAAATATAAAAAAACCTCATCCGTCTGTTCTTTTGAATAATTGGGTATTTTACTATTAGATATGGAGTCTCTGCGGCTGAGGATGTTTTGGAGGTCACGAAAGGTCATCCCAAAGACTGCAAGACAATACCAATGGTCACGCAATCTAGATATAAAAAATACTGGTTTTGCCCTGAAGTACAAATTTGATATGAGAACACATTATAAATAGACATTAGAAGTATGTTGCAACGGAAAAAAAAAAGGGAGTTTCACTAAAACACCCAAAATGGGGATTGAAATTATAAAAAAATTCAAGCATTATTTAAACATATAAACACACCCAAAACTCATCATTACATACACTCAAAACCCATTTATAAACACACCCAAAAAGTTGACTTTGTGGTTGATTTTAGATGTGTTTCTATATTTAAATAGTGCTTGAACTTTTTTTATAAATACATGTCTAGAATTGAGTTTATTTCTAAATTTGTAAAAAAAAAATCTAAAAAATGTTTCGTCAAGGAATAAGATTCTAACAAATGTTTTATTAACCCTCACGGGTTGGCCCAGTGGTAAGGGCGTTTCCCAGGCCCTATGTAAACGGGAGATCCTGGGTTCGATTCCTGCCGTTGGTGAATCAAGCGATGAGGGCCAGGGACGGGGTGAAATTCCCTATAGCCTCTCCGGGTCCCGGAAGGGGTGGATGGCCGTGGCTTGCCACCAGCTGTCCCCCTTTTAAAAAGAAAAGAAAAAAAAAATTGGGAACACATACTACGCCAACGCTCGAGAAATTTCTCATCCACCCCATCATTTTGATGTCCTTTTCAATATGTGCAGGAAAATATATTATTTAATGATTTTTCTTTCTGTAAATAATGATCATTCATGATCGTTCTTATTATTATTATTATTATTATTTGGCCCTTGTGATTTACAGGATTTGATTTGGCCCACCAGCCTAATCCTTGTGCTAGCTGGACGTCCATAATTGCTTTTAAATGACTCGCATATGACAAACAAATAGATTGAAAACACGATTCTGATTTTTTATTATAAATGAAATATAAACTTTGAAACTTGGAGGGTATTTTCAGAATTATGGAATTTTATGGATCAAATTTTGAAGAAAATTTTGCATTCCACAGATTTTTATTTTTATTCAATCTCATTCTCATAAAAAAAATAAATAAAAAACTCGCACGCGCCCCATCTATATTCTTGCCAAAGTAACAATTAACAACATCACCTTTGAGTAAAAGAAAATAAAAAACAGCATCTCTTAATGATTTAAAAGCAAAATTCAAGACTAAAAAAGTGATTAAAAGCAAGTGGTTTGGATTTGGAGCAGTTGCTTGGATTCGAGTCCTAGTATCCGTGTAGTTTGTGTGAGTTTATTATGCTATCGTCACTCTCAATAAAAAAATAAAAAATGATAAAAATGAAAAACCAATGTTTATTATTATTTTTTTGGTCAAAGAAGCGCGTGTTTATTAGACCCTAAATTATAACGTGGAGATGATTAAAGTTAATTAATTGGGAGTTGGTTTTGTCTTTGGGTTGTACAGGCAGGGAGACAAATCTTTGAGCAGACCCTAATCTGCATGTTCTTGTTGGTAAACCACATCACAAACATATGATACACGGGGCTAAAAATAGTGTCGTCCTACCATGTGATGAGGGGCCCACTTGAAATTTTGTCCGTAACACCCCAGATCAGCATCCCTTCTCCAAATAAACATCCTCCATTCAAGTTTTCACGCATGGGAAAAATAAACTTGAAAATGGCCACAAGCTTTTTTTTAATTTTTTGGAGCACACGACAACTCCTCTCTCTCCGACCAAAAAAAAAAAAATTAAAAAAAAAAGAGAATTCCTCTCTCTCTCTCTCTCTCTATATTCCAAGATGAAAGTCTTGGCCTTGTACTGTTCTACATCTGTGAATTGTCTAAATATAAATAAATAATGAGAGGCTGATAATAATAAGGACCTGCAGGCTGTAGTTATGCAAAAGCTCTTTTCTACGTTTCTCGAACAGTTGAGCTGCCAAGTTTAGACCTTTTTTTTGTTGTTAAACCCTCCTGGCTTTTATTTGAAAAGCGGATTTGGGTTTGTTGTTTGGCTGGTTAGTTTGGGTTTTGTGCAGAGTTGGAATTGAAGGCATTGATGGTTTTTTCTGCTTCACATTCCGTGTTCATTATCTGCAGAGATGCAGCTGGAATCGCAGGTATTATTCTCAAGATCCCTTTTTGAATCATGGGTTTTGTTTGTGAACATTGTCTGGATTGTTCCTGTTTTGGCATTTAAATTATTAAACAAAGAAAACCCATGTTAGCATCCCATGAGACTATTATGGTCGACTTGAGGAACTTGTTGGTTTTTGTTCTACATGCTTCAATTCCTTATTGTTCTTGCATTTCTTGCAAAAGCAAAGAAACCCCTCTTCTTTTGGTGTATGATATTCCAGTAGGCCAATTTTGGTGGAAAACTGTTGGCTCTGTTGAATGAGGAGATTGCTGATTTTAGTCAAGTGGGTAGAAGTTTTCATCTTGATTAAGCAGCCTACATAGGGATTTAATTTCAGGCTTATTATCACTAAGATTTATAGAGAGAACGATCTTTGAAACCAATTGTTTGTGCATGCGTTTTTCCTGACTGGTGTCTGTTTGAAATGTCTTTCTTTTCCCTATTTAGTAAAGACTGGTGCCTGTTTAAAATGTCTTTCTTCCCCCCCCCCCCCCCCCCCCCCCCCCCCCGCCCCCCCGCCCCATAGGAATGAGGTATTACAGGAAAGCAAATATTGACATGGCGTTCTACTGTCTTAAAAGGATTTTGGCTTCCAGAAAACAAGATGCACTTTTGCTGCTTACTCTTAACTAAGCTGTTGAATTCAGAAATGTGGGATTAGTCCATCTAAGTAGCTACTGGATGCACCTTCTCAGAAATTGATTTCTTGTTATAATATTTGAGTTCTTGAATGAGAAATTTAGACGTCACTAATTGGTATTGGGATAAAACAGAATTTTGGCACTAGACTACAGCTTTTTAGTATTAATGCATGGACATTTGAACAAGTCATGTCTTAGAACTTTTAAAAAAGAAACACCCAGATACTTTGGCAATTCTAAATATCAAATATTAGTGAGAACTC